GTGGTAGTAGCAGTAGCAGGAGCAGCAGCAACGGCAGTGGCAGTGGCAGCAGCAGCAGTACTACGACACATACATTGCACTGAACTAATTAGCAGCCGCAGAAATTCTGATCTCAGCCAAGGCTCAAACTTCACCCGGCCGCTGTGAGCATCACGGCTGCTCGGGCAATAGATGCCGTCGTAGCGGCCTCACTGATGTACCCGCAATCCTACTCGCTACGAAGCCATACATGCCGATACCCCAAGCCATGAACCCACCCAAAACTGTTTGTTTTTTTTTTTAAGTTCTGCTTGGTCTCCCGGGTCTGCATTGCCGGGGTAGAGCATATGATATCTTTTTTCCAAACCGTATATAAAGCTCTCCATTCTTTCGGCTTCCGTTCGACCCCATCAGTGTTGCTCCCATGGCTCTGCAGATTCTCTTCGGGACGTTCTTGACGATGCTGCTGCTGGCCGCAAGCCCGAAAAGAAGGAAACCCACATGTCCAGCATCCTATAAGGGAACTAAAGGGCAACCTCTGGGATTGTTTAGGGGTTAGACTAGACTACTCCAAGAAGGTTGAAACGTTACCTACTCCCTAAACCCTACCTACTCGACTACTACTTGGAGGTTCATGGGTAGTTATTAAATTGGGTTATAAGTAGTGTAACTGTACTTATAACCCATATTAGGGCCTAGGGGACTTAAAACCCCTTATAACTACCCATGAACCTCCAAGTAAAGCAAGATTTGGCCAAGAGACTACTCCAAGAAGGTTACAAGGTTACCTACTCCCTACACCCTACCTACTCGTACTAAAACCCTGAACCCTACCTACTCTTCTACTGAAACCCAAAACCCAAAACCCTAAACCCTACCTACTCTTCTACAAAAAAAAGAGAGATTTGGCCAAGGCCACCCACCATCTCGGGCATTTGCCCACGAGGATCGAAGCTCACTGGCGCCCCACCGGCTTTGCAGCACTGGTAACCTCCCGGACACTCCAATATCCCTTAATTAAGGAATATACCTTAAACCATATTAGGGCCCGTACTATAATTTAAGGAATATACCTTAATTAAGGGATATTGGAGTCTCTGGGCTGACTGGAGGGGGCAGGGGGTCTCTTCTTTTAGGCTACAGGGCCTTTATAAGGCTCCTACAAGGGATTTCTATAATTAGGGGTCGGAGGGCAATTCTGGGCTTCTGAAGACAGAGTTTTCTGCGCTACAGCTGGAGGATTTCGCTGTCTTCGCTTCGGGATTAAACCTTAAACCCCAAACCCTAAAGCCCTAAACCCTAAAACCCTAAAGGTTTCAGTGGGTTTAGGGTTTAGGGGTCACGGATTTTGGGTTTGGTTTAAGGTTTAGGGTTTAGGGTTGAGGGTCAAGGATTTTTTGGCTTAGGGTTTAGGGTATGGTTTCAGTGTTCCGGTGGTACTCAATGGCCGCGACTTGCCGGACAGCCGTTGGTTTGTGCTCAGCAGTTGTAGGTTGTTGACCCTCGAATTTCGGCCCAACTCCTAAAAGGTTGGGGGCTTCACAATGCTGGGGGATAATCGCAGGCCGATCACATTACACCCCCCAAAAAGTCATCCCGCGAGGAAGACCCCGAGCTCCTGCACACCCTAACATAATCTAACATGATCTGGAAGTGCCCAAAAAAACCCTGAGTTCAGTCGAGTTTCGCACGCGACCCCACTTCCCACCCTCTGAGAACTCGAAATGGAAGCTGCCCAGCACGGCATTCTGCCCACAGCTCACCGGCATCATCCGGATCGGCTTCGCCCTCAGCTGACGAGGGGTCACCCAATAATCCGAAACCCTAATAGGGCCTTCAACCTCACAGTGCCCATAGCCCCACTACAGAGGCACCTAAACCCTAACCTAAACCCCAAACCCTAAAAGCCCTTAAACCGTCCCCCGGGCCTCATCCTAGACAACAGAACATCACCCTGTCTAGGTTCCTGGGTGACCCCTTAATAAAAAGGGCACCCTTTTTCCTAGTATTCGGTTTTACAAAAAGAGACCCCAAAATAAAAAGGGCGAAAGGGTACTACTCAGGAACCTTACCCTAAACCCTAAACCCTCAAACCCGAAACCCCTAAACCCAGGAAGGTGCGGGGTCACGCGCTGTCAGGGCCGCAGGCCGAAGGCCCAAAGCTTGGTAGAGGGGGGCCTCATCAAGTCTTAGGGTTTAGGGCTTAGGGTTCGAGTTTAGGGTTTGAGTTTAGGGTTTAGGGTTTAGGGTTTAGGGTTTAGGGTTTAGGGTTTAGGGTTTAGGGTTTAGGGTTTGGGTTTAGGGTTTAGGATGGAGCGATTCCTAAGGGTTCAATGTAGGGGCCTCAATAATTACAACAAGGCTTATGGGGGTATGTTGTCGTATCTTTACATGTAGGCACTAGTGCATATTGGCATTATTACGACTATCAGTGTTGCGAGCATCGGTACTAGCTGTTCAGGTTCATGTAAAAGCTTGTAAACGCCTACATTGAAGCTCCCAGAAACCCTAAACCCTAAA